ACAGTCTATGAGGCATACAGAGACAACGGAAGGAATAGTAAATGGAGTGTAAATATTGTGAGAAACTTAAATGACTGGAAGGTGAGCATTCACTAAGCAAACTTTGCACAGTAAGATTTAATGGAAATGACAGTCAGCCATTATGGAATCTCAAGAGTAGTGACTTATTCATGATCAAGTCATTTTATAAGTACTTAGTTGAGAATGAAGTGGTACAGACCAAATTTCCATTCCAGCAAATTTGGAAGGTAAATGCTCCTTTCAGAGTTGCTTTCTTTGCATGGGAGGCAAGACACTAGTGTATTTTGACAATAGATAAACTGATGAGGAGGGGGAAAATTTTGGTAAATAGATGTTTCTTATGCAAGAGGGAGGTAGAATCTTGTGATCATATCATGCTTTGCTTTCTGTTTATGTACAGATATGGACTATGGTCTATGAATTTTTAGGAATAAACTGGGCAATGGACGACTTGGTAAGAGATGAGTTATGGGCTTGGAAAGACATTAGCAACGGAAGGAAACATGTAAATCTCATTCCTCGTACCAAATTATGGGTTTTGTGGAAGAAGAGAAACGAGAAAGCTTTTGAGGAGAAGGAAGCGGATTTGTTTAGAGTTAGAGATCTATAGCTAAAGGTGTTGGGTTTCTTGGTGATGGGCACCTTATTCTTTCTGTTGAAGAGTTTGAGGATTTTATTCACGTACTTAACTGATTTGTAAATTATTTTGCACATAGATGGCATCCCCTTGGTGCTATGATATAATAATACTCTATTTTTTTATTTTAAAAAAAATTACTTAGTTAATTGTGGTTAATTAGTTCGAATCCTAGGATGTGGTGTACTGCCTTGTTTCTCTACTTTTCTGTTATTGTCTTTTGTCTTGTTCTATGATGAAAATCAGTAGAAAAAGGAAGGAACATAATGAGAATGAGGTATGGAAATACATATGCAAAAACCCTAAATTCCAATTCGCAACCTTTCAGGTTTTCTTTCTTTCTATCTCTACTCTCTTCTCTCTTCCCCTCTCTTTCTTTCCTTCCTTCCTTCTTCTTTTCTTCTACCCAGAACCCTAACAACTCTCTACCAGATTCTTTGACTGAGTACATAGCTAAGGAGCTTGGCACTATGATTTATTGGAAGTTGGGTGCTAATGGGGATGTGCAAGTAAAAGAAAAAAAAGATATTACAGCTTAGAAGAAATGTTTCTAGTATTATATTTCTTCTTGAAATTTATTGTTCTGCTGCATGGTTTTAACATACTAAGATGGCCTCTTATAATCTGAATTCAATTAGAAACTGCTAATTTTGGTGAAAAATTTCTTTTTCTAATGTTGTAATTTTAACTTACATTTGTGGTTGTGTTCATAACTTTGTTTGTCTAAGTATACCTTGTGTATTCTATCCAAGTTTTTTTTTTCTTTCTTACCTTCTATACTTTATCATTTCATATCTTTTTGTTGCAGGTTAATCTGGATCCAAACATAAGGAATATACAGGAATTAAGATCCTGGCCAGAGTTTCACAATGCCGTTGCTGCTGGGCTAAGACTGGCCCCCCTTCAGGTTTGTCCTTATATATTAAGAACTGAGTATTCTAGACCCAAAATTTATGCACCCAATTATATTTTTAGTGTTGCTGCATTTTTTTGGTCTTGCATTACTTAATCGTTGAATTAAAGCATATTTTTTGGTCACAATTTTCAGTTACTTTTTCGTGCCACCTTTATACGTAAGCATAACTATATTGTATGCTCTTATTGAGGCATGTCTAAAATTTGATGTGGTACTTTGCTGATTTGTAGGGAAAGGTGTCAAGAACATGGATAGCATACAACAGACCTGCAGAGCCAAATGTTGTTCATGCCGGACTTCTTCTTGCACTGGGGCTACATGGATATCTTCGTGTTTTAAGTATTAGTGACATCTATTCATATTTTTCACAGGTTTAGTGCTCCATGGCTCTTTTTTCTTTGTATTGATTGGTTACATTTAGTTACTTCATTCTACATGTAATTATTCAGACTATTTACTCTTCATCTGTAGTTTTAGAATGGTATGTGATTGAGTGTGCCTATATCAAACTTATTTGTGGGTGTTATTCAATGTGTCCAGTTGATAAAGTTTACTAAATATTTAAGATGCTAGCCCCCTAGTTTTCTCCTCTTTCTTCTCTGCTAAAGATACCTCTATTTATATTTAATGGTTTACACAGTGTACTATCACTTCTTGTACACTTCACTTATCAAGCTGCTGATTGGTGGCAAGTATAGCTTGTCATCACATACATAGTCTAGATGCTACTATGTACCTAGGTCACTTTTGCTGCCACGGCTGCTCGTGCTTGACATGTTATTACATGTGTGTTCTGCTTTGAAGGTTGAAAAATGAATACAACTGATATATCCCGGAGGAAATAAGTAATTTTACAAATACTTATAAGTTAAATTCTGTAACATTGTGTTTGGTTCAGAATTATTTTATTATTATCCTAGTTATTCGATACGTAGAAATTAGTTATAATGTATACATTTGATGCATGATTAAAATAACTTCTTTATTATTTCTAATTCCACAGCTATAGATTTGCATTCACACATGTAAAAAAAAAAAGAGTAAGAAATGCCTAACTTAAATTGGATATGAAATTAACTTGGATTGAAATGGTATTTTCATTCAAATTTTTTATTCAATCTGCATGAAATTCTTATTTTTATTTCATGTAATTAAAGTACTAAATTAAATGTAGAAGTGTAAGGCTCTACTCGAAATTTGAGCCAAGCTAGAATATCCTTTTTTTGGTAGTGACCAAACTCTAGTATTAAAAATTCTGCTCAACTTCGCTTATTTAATATCTTAGTCATGGTTCTTACTTGCCTAAACTTGCATGTGTGATATATATACAGGTATTTATGTAGTATATATGTCTAATATAACCATGTAAACGCACAAGCTGAATCCAGCATGATGATGTATTGACATAGATAATACCTTTATGAAACATTTTAGGCACGTGACTGTACAAGTTGCAGCCTGCTGGTTGTTTCTTGACAATACTTTATTGATTAGTGTTTGCAGCTTATGCTTCGTTTTCTTTTAACTTCTTGGATTGGCATTATGCTCTACAAGATTTTCTTCTTCCATAAGGCATCATGTGCTGGCTGAAGAGCAAAGAGAGAAGATGAATGGACGTTATATGCTTGTCCCTTCCATTCTGTTAAACTAGATTCTTAAGTTTAGCATCTTTTGTCTGTTCTTTATTCCATTTTCCTTTTTAAAAATAAAATGCTTTTTTACCTGGATGCTAGCCACATTTCCTTATTCCACTTTTCTGTTGCTTTTTATTAGGAACATGAAAACACAACTGTAGGATTAATGCTTGGTCTGGCAGCTTCTTATAGGGGGACAATGCAACCAGCAATATCAAAGGTAGAGAAATATGCTTGTTTTTGACCTTTTTTCTATCTTTATCTTTGCTTACAGGTGCAGGTCTCCGTGCTGTTAACAACTTCTAAGCTTTTCTTTTTTGAATGGAAAACTATGGAAATATATTCAAGGGTACCAAAGGATTCAAACCTGTATTTAAAAGTATTTACAAATTAATCAGGATATCAGTTAGATCCCTCAAGTCCTTTCTAGTATAAAGTGGTTGAACCCTTAACGAAAAATTCAGGGTCTGGAATCATAAATCATCAAATCTGTCAAATTAGATTATCTCCTTTTAAAAACTATTCTATTTCTCTCTTTTCAAATAACTCAAAAGGTAGCTGGAGAGATAAGCCTTAATCTCTTATCATTTTGATTCTGCTCCATGTTCATAACTCCTTCCTAACTGAACCAGCTATCACCCAGTCCTTTCCCAAGAAACCATAGGCCAAAGACCAAATGTCATGAGTATACCGGCAGCAAGGAAGAATGGGGTTGAAAGATTCTGCACTACTTTGTCGACAACTTCTATGTTTTCAACCATGGATACCTTCTTGTGGTGCTGTATTTGTTGGGTTTACTTTTTCATATGATTTTACCCTTCTTTGAACACTAGGTAGAGTGCAAAGATGCTGTATGGAATAAGGCCGATCAAATAAATAAACAGGAAAGTCAGAAATAATGTGAGTTTCTTAATTCTTCAGAGAAAAGGAGAGGAATAATTTTGTGCTACTCCTTAAATAAGAAAAACCATATGAGGGGAAATGTTAGCTCTTTATTTATTGCGATACAAGGGCCTGACAATAAGCTTGACGAAGTAAGTTAAACCTTTTGTTATAGAATAATTTTTCTATGTAAATGGTGCTTTTATTTTGGGTGAAAACTTAAACTTTTTATGTAACAGGCTCTCTTTTTTCATATTCCTGCTCGATTTCCATCTTCTTATCCAGAGTTTGAGATACCAACCCTTCTGCAGGTATGGATGATTGCCATGGTTCGTTGATTTCTTTTTGAATTTTATTCTTTGGGGAAATTGTGTTCCTTTCACTGGATTATTTCTTGATGGACCAGTATGGTGTGGATGGTGAGCATGAATGATAGAGATATTAAAATTGTCAATTATCATGCAAAAGTTGGTGTAAAATGGATGTAATTTTGTTTTCTTCTTGAGTTGCTTAGTTTATCTTTTCCTTTTTGTTGGTAGAAAAAGAAGAGATATTATTGAGATAAAGGGGATGCAAATATGGAGGATTAGGTATCCTCCAAGAAACAGAGAGCTCCAAAGAAAGGAAAATGAGAAGGACTAGCTAAATAGTATAAAGAGTAGCCAACCAATCTCTATAGCAAACTGTTAAATAATGTCCTTGAAGCAGCCCTTGATCTTAGCCCAAATAGAAGCCAGAAAACAGATTTTATCCCACAAAATCATAAAAGGTGAATTGTAGTTTTGAAACATTCTTGCCTTTCTCTCAAAGCCAAATTATCCACAATTTGGCTAAGATTGCCCTGCAAAAAGAAACTTGACCTCCCTCTTCATTGTTAGACCCAACATACAGAGATTCTCAGTTGGGACTAGGTGATGTAACTTAGCACAACAAACAATGAACTACCTTTATTACGAGCTTTCTGAGGAGAAGAAGTTCTCTACTAACACTAGGACAACCTATTAGAGTTTTGCTTATTCTTATTTTTGTTCCTTCCCCCAAGGCCTAGATGCTGTAATTGCCTAATTTTGTCTATTTGGTTTATTTTCCAAACAATAACTTTGATTATGCAATTGCTTTTGTTGATTTCCAGTCTGCAGCTTTAATGTCAGTTGGAATTCTTTTTGAAGGATCAGCACATCCACCGACGATGCAATTTCTTTTGGTACTATGTTTCATCTTGTTAAAGTTCAAATGTTGTGCTTTTAATTATGCAGAATTATCATTTAATTAGGGAAAATGCATGTACATACAGCATCATCCTAATTCATAAGGAAATTGTGTAACTAAAACTTAGGTTATTGGGTAAAATGAACAACGATTGGAATCTGCCTTGGAGTTTCAAGGGATAATTTAGAGCGTTATGACAGTGGATATATATATGTATGTTATATGCTTGCACGTACATGGGTATACATTGAAAAGCTAGTTGATATTCTCTATCAGTTTGTTGTACCATCTCTTTAATTGGATTCTTATTATTACAATCCTAGTTGGCTGAGTTATTTGGCAATTTCTGTTGTAGATTCATGAATGATTTAGTTGTTCGAAGTCCCAGTCATTCTTTAGGATATTATGTTTGTTTATTTCTGATACTTGTTTGTGTTGTTAAAAGCTTATCGGTGAAAATCATTTGACTCATTTCGGGGTTTGGTTTGATTGCCACATCCTTATACAGTGGTGATACATATCATTTCTTTGTATACAGTTCCACAATGATTTGAGCGTGCGCCTGCATATTCTGTTGCAGAAAAAAGGTAAAGAATTTTAAGGATAGTTTGATAGATTTACAGTGCATGCTGTATTTCAGGGTGAAATTGGCCGCAGAAGTGGAGGTGATAATGTACTTGAGCGAGAGGGTTATGCTGTTTCTGCGGGATTGTCATTAGGTCTTGTTGCATTGGGTATGTCTTTGTGACTTCCAGTGCTTCTTTATTTTGAGTTTGGTATTAGTTGATCGTGTTCTTTTAACTGAAGGCCGTGGAGGAGATTCACTTGGTTTCGTGGAAAACTTGGTTGGTCGATTATTCTACTATATTGGTGGCAAAGAAGTTCATAATGTATGCCTCTAATTTCATATTACTTTCATTTACCCATTTTACTCCTAATGGGAACTTTCAATTTCAACTCAGTGCTGTAAATATCTGCAGCATGTCTGTTGAAATCCCTTGCAAAGGAGCTACACCATCTTAATCTATATGGCACATGGCACTTCTGTAAAACTTTATAGTTTTCCTGACTGTCCCCTTTTATTTTACTCTGGCAGGAAAGATCCCCCCATATGATGCTATCTGATGAACCCAACCGTGGTACTGGGCAGGTTTGACTAAATGGTCTTTCTATTTATTTATCACTGTTCTGAAGCACATTAATAAAGAGAATACATTTCTTTTGACTAATAAAATCAAATTGCTGTTGCATTTTAGATGATGGATGGCACCACAGTCAATATTGATGTTACTGCTCCTGGAGCAATAATTGCTCTAGCGTTAATGTTCTTAAAGGTGATATTTTATGGAAGTTCACACTAAATTGATTTATAAACTTCTGTAAGATCGTGTCAGTTTTGTGGCATTTCTTACCCGTATACCTTTCCCAACAATCATTGCTTAGTTTTCTCCCTTGTGTTTATTGCAGACTGAATCAGAGGTGGTCGCATCTAGGATTTCTATCCCACAGACTTACTTTGAGTTGCAGTACGTGAGACCTGATTTTATAATGCTTCGTGTCATTGCTCGAAATTTGGTAATGTGGAGCAGGTAGTCTATTCAAAGGAACTAGTCGATCATCAAGCTTCTATCTGTTCATATACTCAAAGGAGTTGAGTTTTTAAGATTTTCTGTTTAAGGGTCCACTCTTCTCAAGATTGGGTTCAATCCCAGATTCCTGAAATTGTCAAAGATGGAGTCAAAGGTCTCAGAGATGATATTGATGAAATGGATACAGAAGCTTTTGTGCAGGCATATGTCAATATTGTGACTGGAGCATGTATTTCTCTTGGTATGTTTTTTTATTGATTCTTAGTTTAATTATTTGTTTTAGCTGGAAAAGATGTTTTGCTAAAAGGATTCTCTAATATGTGGTTTTGGTTACTGGTTCCTTGTACTGTTTTCCAAGTAAGTTTTGTGCTTAATTATTTATTTCCAACCTTTCTGCAACCTGACATGGTAATTTCCGTGCATATATATGGTTAATATTTTTAGAGATTATTCTTTTTGTAACAAAATTTTGTTGTTGTGTTTGGGCATGTTTTTTTTTGGATAAATCAACTTTATGGAATACATTTATGGTAATTTCCTTCCTCTAGTTGGATCTCGTCACTTCTTTATTATGGGTGGCACCCCCTTGGATTTTGTCCAAGCTAGATTCTGGAAGTTAAAAGTCGACACTTCCTTTTTTGAACCTTTTTTTGGTCTTCACGAGAATTTTACATTAAGCTCTTCACGTTTAATGATGCAGGGTTAAAGTTTGCCGGTACGAAGGACGGAAATGCACGGGAATTACTTTATGATTATGCTATCTATTTCTTGAATGAGGTCTCATAAACTTGCAATTTGAATCTTATAGCTTCTGTAAATTGTTCATTAGTGGTAAATTAGTTTTGTTAATGTCTGCAGATCAAGCCTGTTTCTGCTACATGTGGGAATACCTTTCCTAAAGGTCTGTCTCCCTATGTCGATCGTGGCACATTGGAGATATGCCTTCATCTAGTTGTTCTTTCCCTTTCTGTGGTATGTAAGAGTTACAGGTTTTTGTGTAATAAAATTCAATTATTTATACATGGTTGTTACGTGGCTAATTTTCTGAGAGAATAGGTTATGGCTGGCTCTGGAGATCTTCAAATCTTTCGGTTATTGAGATTTCTTCGCAGCCGGAACTCTGCAGATGGGCATGCTAATTATGGCATTCAGATGGCAGTAAGTTTTCTGTCAGGACCCAGCTTTGACATGTAGGGGCAATTTTGAAATAATAAGTTTTATGGTAAAAATTGAAAAATAGTGGTAATTTTGAAAAAAAAATTAAAATTATGGGGCAAGAATCTGGGAACATAGAAAAAGTAGGGGGAGAAATGAAAATTAGAGAGAGAAGGAGAGATCTAGAAGAGAGAGAAAATGAGAATTCCAGAAGAGAGGGAAAAGAGATATTTTTAGAGAGAGAAAGATCTGGAGAGAGAGAGAATGTTTTAAAGAGATTGTATGTGTTTTAGATTAGAGGAGAACAAAGAAAGAAGATGAAATAATTTGAGATTTTATTCCAAAAATTACATATCTGAGTTTGTGATACAATTCATTATTTATATACATGAATCGGTATGAAAATCTTCATTTGCATCATCAAACGCCGCCGAGTGATGAAGAAAAGTCACCTATTCACGTGAGGAACGCGTCAGCTTGAGGGGGAAAATTTGAAACACTTCAGCCGGTTCACCATGTGGAAAAGAAACGGTTCACCAGTTCATGGACCGGTTCAATGCCTAGGGTTTTGGGTTTTGCCTCCCTGCAGATGGCTCCGTTTGCACTTTGCTCCCTGTTTTTTTTATTCACATGTGGTTGATTTCACTGTTTCCTTTGTGCACCCATGCTTCCAGCCACATTTTCATTTGATTTTTCTGGGATCTTAACAATTCCCTCCCTTTGGATATCAATCTTGTTTTCAAGGTTGTGATTCAGCGTCCAACATTTCATGTTCAAGAATATTACTTCTATTTCTTATATATATATGTATATTATTATATATATTATATATGTATATATATTTATTATGCTATCAAAGGACTCCTTGTGGATATTTTGCATTATTCTACTACTTGTCATCTGGAGGTTGATCCTCTTCACTTTCTCCTTCTTTTCCCTCACATATCTCCATTGCCATGACTATTTTTTCTTTACATGATGCCCTGAAAAGTATTTTTCTTCACATCTGTAGCAAAGATTGTTCCTCATATGATTGGACCTCTTAAGGGTACTGGTTCTTGAAAATTCTGAATTTTCAAGAAATTTTTAGTGATGAGAACACTTTTTTTGGAAGAAGTCATAAAGTGCTTCAGCTTATTATAACGGTAGATGACATCTAATGCTTGTTCTTGCCATAGAGCCAACTAAATTGCTTTAGTCAAGATATGCGGCCTATACATCCTTAGTATCAGTCTAAGTACCTCATTCAAACTATTTACAAAACTGGAAATAGAATATTTTCACAAAATCCAGAGTTCTCTGTTAATAACGAGGATCTTATTTCTTCAATTTTTCTTGATATTAGTAGACAGTATTTTTCTGAATCAGTTTGTTAAATTCCTCTATAATGTCAACTCTAGTTAATCCTCCAAACCTTCTACACTGTTCAACCTCGAATATTTCTCATTCAAATATATTTAGGTCATTTGTTAACTCAGTACCAAGTTTCTACATCATCTCAAAGATATATTGAACCTGTTTTCACTTTACTTCTCGGGAATGTGAAAAGATGAAAATACTTGTTGCATCTTTTGATCCATGTTTTAAGTTTTTTCGTCAAAGATAGGAATTTCAATTTTTGGGGTAGGGCTTCCTAGTCGGTTACTCCTCTAGTATGAACTGCCAACCCTTATTTTTTTTACTCTAAGATTTGGTTAAATTCCTTTATCAATATTTAAAGCAGAGACGCATGGACTTATCCTTGTGGCTGTCTCTCCAATTTGTGTTTTGCCTTGCAAGAGTTAGACTCGTTGGGCAAATGTAGCCAGTCGCTGGTCCACTAATGCTTGGGTTTGTTGTTGTGATTCGTACATTTCGGATTTCAAATCTGAAAGTTTGTGGTCCACCTCACACTTTTTTTCCTCCATAGTGGCCATCTTTTGAGGTTCGAAAACCGTGGTTTTACTCTTATTTTTCACCATGGCCACAAAACTTGTAAGAGTTTCGTTAAAATCAACTTGCTTTTATACCAAGTTGTAAAGAGTCAGATTTGACATGTAATTCACTGGAATCTTAATTTTGGCAAAAGAAATTAATTTGTAATCTTTATGGTAAAAATTGAGAAATATGGGTAATTTAAAAAAAAATAAAATTATGGGCGAAGAATATGGAAATAAAGAAATGGTAGGGGGAGAAAAGAAAATTAGAGAAAGGAGAGATCGGGAAGAGAGAAAATGAGAGCTCGAGAAGAGACAGAAAAGAGATATTTTTTAGAGAGAGAAAGATCTGAAGAGAGAAAGAATAGAGAGAGAAAGAGAGAATGTTTTAGAGGGAGTGTGTGTTTTAGAGAGAGGAGAACAGGGAAAGAAGATGATATGAGATTTTATTCTAAAAATACATATCCGAGTTTATGATACAATCCGTTATAAATGAATCGGTATGAAAATCTTCATTTGCATTGTCAAACGCTGCCGGATGATGAAGAAAAGCTGCCTGTTCGGGCAAGGGATGTGTTTTCTGGAGAGAGAAAATCTGAAATGGTTGGGCCGGTTCACTGCATGGAGAAGAGAAGGTTTGCCGGTTTAGGGACTGGTTCAGGGCCTGGGGTTTTGGGCTTTGCTTCCCTGCAGATGGTAGCACTCTGCTTTTTTTTTTTTTTTTAATCACCTGCGGCTGATTTCACTGTTTCCTTTATACACCCATGCTTCCAGCCACATTTTTGTCTGATTTTTCTGGGATCTTAACATTTTGCTACAAGCTAGAAAGGGTCCTTTCTCAATCCAAATTCCTTATACTGTTTTTCCCACCCAAGTCTGAGACGTTCAATGTCTCTATCTTGTTGGTTATGGTCAATCTTGATTTCTTCCTTCTAGTTAAAAAATTTGAGATTTTAAAATCATAGAATGGCTGGAAAATTATCCTACTTGGGAAAGAGGTGTGAGTATTATGAACTCAGTGATTATTCTGGTTTTATATCAGCTAGTAAAATGAAAGTTTCTGTGGAAGTTTAGATATCTTATTGGTATTACTATTTAAAGATTTTTAACACCAATGAACAACCTGTGAGATCTGTATGTGTGTTAGTTTGTCTCATAGTCTTTCTTGATATGGGAATATCAGGTTTTATCATCATTTGAATTGATTTATTTCATTATTTTTTTGCAAAGACGAATTCTGGCCTGTTTGCATGTATTTCTCTTTGTTAAATAGCAAAGCCTGCTTGCATGTATTTATTTGAGAAATAAACTATGACGATCAGTTTTTTTTTCCTTTGAATGCCATACCTGCTATGACTTTAGGTAAGTTTAGCAACTGGCTTCTTGCTTCTTGGGGGAGAAACACGGATATTTTCAACAAGCCACAGTCCTGTTGTCGCTTCGCTGATAACACTGCTTGCATGTATTTATTTGAGAAATAAGTTAGGATAATCAATTCTTTTTTTCTTTGAATGCATACCTGCTATTACTTTAGGTAAAAGCTTAGGAATTGGTTTCTTGTTTCTGAATGTGGACATTTTTGACAAGCAATAGTTATATTTGGAGCTTTGTTGATTAGACTGCTACCATATATTTATCTAAGAAATAAATTATGACACAGTTTTTTTTTTTTTTCTCTTTGAATGCCGTATCTGCTATGACTTTAGGTAAGCTTAGCAATTGGTTTCTTGTTTCTTGGGGGAGGAATGCGGACGTTTTCGACAAACAGCAGTTCTATTGCTGCTTTGCTAATTACACTTTACCCGCGCTTGCCTTCTGGACCAAATGATAATCGTTGCCACCTTCAGGTAAATCTGAATGCTACCAAATCAGTTGTGTATGAGGAAGTATGTAATGATGGTAACTTATGAATTGAGAAATGGAGTTAGGACTTAGAAACTCTATTATAAGACAAGGGTAGAATGGATAGAATAGGGAGAAACTAACAAAAAAAAAATGGAAAATGGAGATTCCAGAACTTGATAACTAAGAGAAAATCTTGATTATATTTAATAGTAACGGTAGCAGCTGTGAAGTAATTGAGTTGGATGGATACTTATCTCAAAGTTTAAGTTAAATATATTTTATTTATATTCTAAAATGTCCCTTCACTTGCAACCTCCTGCAAATGCAGTTGAAGCACAGACCAATATGGTTTTGATACCTTGTGAAATAATTAAGTTGTATCACTTAAGTTATATAATACAAACTGATAAGGCAATGAAACCTAACCTAGTAGGAACCATGATAGGAGACTAAGTTACAAAAGAAACTGAAAAAAATTCTATGTAACTCAATCTCGCTAGCCACCTAAAACACCTTTTAATTGCTGAATTTTTTTATCATTCGTCCACTTCCTTATCCACATAAGATTCCTGAATAAGCTAAACATTCATCTTGTTGTATAGAAATCTCATTAGTCTTGTTATTATTTTTTATAGTATTTGGTAATATTTTAATCCTTCCATTTAAGTCTGTTATAGTTTGCACCAAAAGGCGTATCAAAGAGAGATGCTTTTTATCTCTACACTAAAAAGTATATCAAAGAATTATAGAATTTATTGATCCATGGTAAATCTATTTGGGTTTCCTTCACACTGTTCTGTCTATGTTTAACTTTTTCAATAAATTATGAGGAACAGCATGATGATCATATCTGAAAAAGCGAACTCATTGTTCATGAAGAAAGTTTGTTGTCCAGGCATTCAGGCATTTGTATGTCCTTGCAAATGAGGCTCGCTGGATTCAGACTGTTGATGTTGATACTGGCCTCCCTGTTTATGCACCTGTTGAAGTTACCATAGAGGAAACTGAACTTTATTCAGAAACAAGTTTTTGTGAGGTTACCCCCTGCATTTTACCGGAACGTGCTATTGTAAGTTCAAAGTCCCGAAAACAAAGTTCTTGGAATTCTATGGTTCCTGAACTTTTTGTTATTTGAATGTAAGAGTATAATTAAATAATACAAGTCTAAGAGAAATTCTGCTGCTTTGTGTAAATTTATCAATTTCTTGGGAGCTGAGGACAAGTATCAGAAAAGTTGTCATAAAATTTGTGCATGTTGGACTACTCTATTGCAGCTATCATAATTAGCCCACTAAACTCAAAATATTTTGTCTCATGTTATCTTAGTAGTGAGAATTGATGTTTTTGGTGGATTATTGATTCTTAACATGCTTTTCACAGTTGAAGAGAATTACGGTCTGTGGCCCTCGGTACTGGCCTCAAGTAATAGAGCTCGTTCCAGAAGGTAGTGGATGCCTTCACTATATTTCTGTTGTTTACATGAATTTATTTATTTTAGATGAATGGAATTCAACGGCTTTATTCTAATCCCCCTTTTCTTTAGACCGACCTTGGTGGAGCTGTGGAGACAAGAATGACCCATTTAATTCTGGTGTTCTTTATATCAAACGGAAGGTTGGAGCTTGTTCATATGTAGATGATCCCATTGGGTGTCAGTCGCTACTGTCACGAGCAATGCACAAGGTTGTGTTCTTATTATGTGTTGCCACTGTGTGATATAATTCTGTGGTTTATCTTGGATTTGGTAAAAGATTTTGAATTTTCTTTCCCAATCCAGGTGTTTGGTTTGGAAACTATAAGAGCATCCAATCCAAGTAATTGTAAGAACAGTGGACTCAGTTCTGATACTGTAGATCAGTTGGTCAGGACATTTTCTTCTGATCCTAGCTTAATTGTTTTTGCGCAACTTTGCTGTGATCCATCCTGGAATAACAGGCAAGTATTTATTTGTTCTCTCTCTCTCTCTCTCTAGATTGTCTAGTATTCTCTGCTGAGGTTCAGGAATGTCATGGTTTAAATTTGCTTATGTAGCATAACAACTTTTTTTTTTTTTTTGGATGATAATGATCTGAAATATTATGTGGAATTAATTCTAACTTTTTCTGAGTGCCTGAAGTATGCGATGTGATCTTCTATGCTCTTAACAGTGGTTATCATGGGAAAATGAATAATATTACTTTGTCTATGCAGCTATTTTTCATGTTTATGAAGCGATTGTTTTTTGTTCCGGAGGCTTCTATATATAAAATGTCATTCACATGGGTGCAGATTTGATGCTGATTTCAAGGAATTTTGCCTGCAAGTGTTGCTTGAGTGTGTAAGCAAGGACAGACCAGCCCTTTTACAGGTAATCTACACACTCAGGGACCCAGTTTAACTGGCATTAGTCAGCTTCAAGTAAATGTTTAAGACAACTAATATATTCTTATTTCCATGAAATTTCAATATTCTCCATTTCGTGCTGTACAGTTTTCATGCCATATTTTCTGATGTGCAGGTTTATTTGTCGCTGTACACAACAATTGGCTCAATAACTGAGCAGGTTTTCAGTGGTAAAAATATCATTGTTGATTCTCTATCTATCTCTAGTTTGAAGGTAATTTTCTCTAATCCCGGTACTTCTGGACTATCTCAGAAAACTCATCCTAACAATTAAAAAATATTGTTTTCCAAGTTACAGTGCATGGTGGTATTTTTCTAGATAAGTAACTCTATTTTTATAGTTTGATAAACAGCTAAAAGTACCCATATCGCTGTGGTTCATTTCAGTCAACTGTCTTTATGGTGTATATCAGTCCAAACTAAAAATACATCAGTTTGGTCCGTTCTATATAAAATAATATTTAATATTAAAATAAAATTAGGTTTGTCTTTATATAACTATTTTAACTATAAAACTAGAGCAAGGTTAAAATGAATGCAAAAGAAAATGAAAATAATAAATAACTTAATGAAACAAATATGTTCAGTCATATTGGAACAGACAGACCAAAAATTGAATTTTCAAAATTTGGATCCTAGACCCAACAGAATTTAATTCAGTCAGCAGTCTAGAGAAAATAATTTAATTCAGTTTGGTTTTGATCAGTTTTCCATGTTTTGAATGATTATTTGAACAACCTTAATCTTATATTCAAATACTAGTAAAACAATTCGGAAATTAAAAATAATCAGTAATAAGATCACTTATTTAAAACAAAAAAAATCAGTAATAAGATCTCAAATCCTTTAATGATTAAATAGCAGATTAGATTAGAAAATCAACTTTTTTAAATTAGTATATAGGAGAACCATAGATAGCCAAGAACATTACATCTTAAATGTGTTGGAAATGAGAAACTTAAATGGTGTTTTTATAACTTAATTATTATTGTTCAACATGTGTCTAATTAATTGTTTGCAGTCATTAAGGGTATTTCCAAACCATGGTTCCAAAAACCATTTGGCTTATTGTTTGAGTTTGGATTGAGAGAGTGTTTGAGTAACCTTTTTTCTTAGTTAAAAGGTACGTAAAAGTACATTTTAGCAAATAAAGAAAAAAAGTTAATGGAGTGCTTTGCGAGATATCAAGTGTTCAAAAGCTACTAAGCTTTTACTCCAAAATAAAAGACTTCAGTGCTTACATTTTTAGAGCTTTAAGTTGAGAACTTTTAACTAATTTAACTATTATTTGGGACCACTATTCTGCATCAAAATGAAAATTTGCAACTCTGCTAGTTTAAAAATTAAAAGTGTACCTTATCCAGAATGTGTTAGATTTATATACCCTAATTAGATTAAAATTTTATGAAGATTTTAAATACAAAACTATCGTTATTGTTTAAGGCCATATTAGCTTAAAATACCAAAAAGAATAAGCTAATCTATATGGCCTCTAGGTCAGACAGTCTGGTCTTCTTCTATTCCCAGACCACCGCCCTGGCTCTATTTAACCTCTAGAGGGGTCCAATCTTAGACTGCATTTCATAGTCCAGTCATCAACCAATCTTTTAGATTCATGTGGACCATCTGCAATCTTTATTTTGCATGAATATTTGTATATTGAATGGCAGTAGTGAAACTAATAATGCTGGACAAAGTCAATAGTAAAATTAGATGGTTTTACTAATATGACTTGATGCATACTGATGAACAGAGATAATTCTACTTTAGGGCTGTTTGTTTGGTTGAGCAGCCCTGTCTTGAAATATTAATAACTAAGTTTGATCCTAAAATGAAAAGACTATCTTTTGCTTAAGTTTGCCAAATAAAATTGAAAGTACTTGTCCAAACTAAACTTTTATCAGCCAGGTAACTGGACTTGGTGGGTTACGGTCCCCATAAAAGGGTGTAAAAGTTTTAATGGTTCAAACAAGTTTCTTTTTGTGATTGATTTTCTGGTTCATGATGAAATCTAATTTTTTTGGTGGCTACATTACTAAGAAAATTCTCATTGCTAATCATTTTTCAGCTTGCACTGACTTATAACAAGGCCGTGTCAAGTGGAAGACTAACCTCTTCAAGCGGTAGCATTTTGCAAGCAATCTTTTTATCATCTTTAAGGAAGCGGTTGGAAGAGATCCTAAGATTTTCTGAGCAATTGAAGAATGATTTTTGTAATTATTTGATCTCGGGGAGGTGGCCCATGGACGATACCCTAGGACAGAAGAATTCAGTACTACTTTCTTGGTATCTGCAGTGGTTTGGTGTACCCGCTCCGTCAATAATCAAGACAGCAATGGAGAAAATCAAGCCCAAGCTCAAGTTGTCCTCTTCAGTTCCTTTCTTGCATCTGTTGTTCCCTAGTACTCATATCGATGCAATCTGTGAAATTAATAGGTTTTTCTCTACCCAAGGTAGCAGTTAAGACCTGGCAACTGGCATTCTGAAGAAGAGCATTGTGTCCTTTTCTGTGGTGCCCCTGGTAACTGAGGCTAATTAGGTTCCACAAAGGGGAAAGAAAAGCCCGGGTTTACTTTGCTGCCGATGGTGTGCTAGCTTCAGTTCTCACAATTCATATCTCAAAAGATGAAAATAGGAATGCATTTTCTTTCACTTCAGGTTAACAGTCTCTGCAAATAATTTTTGGTTAAGTTATAGTTGATGTTGGCCTTAGAAATAGGCAATCAATTTTTGTTGTTGTATGTGGAAATTTGAATGTCAATGTAAAAAGGGATTACTTGGCCGAAAAAAGGGAAAGAAAAGAAAAGGTACAATGGAGTTATCAATTTTGTAGCAATATTAACATAGTTGTGACTATCTGGGTGATTCTTAAAGATATTTATTACATAATATTAATAGTACAATGAATTATGCATGCACCAGCTTTCCTTGTATTATACTTTTTGATAGCATATGCACCGATCTTTGTGTGCATTATACAGTTTGATAGCATGTGGTAAACACTTAGATCCCAATTTGTCAAGAAGTTTTTTTAGGTTACAACACAGTTCCTTCCAATCTAGGAGATAGAGAAGGTAGATTTTTCTGTCTTCCTTTAATTTCTCTGTGTATTGAATTACAATAGTATCAACTATTTTGATTTTTTATACTTTATTCTTTCATTTTCTTTTATTTATTGTCTTCCTTATTATATTTCCTTCAGATGAATATAAAATTACAGAATATATCTTTTCATTTCACATTTCATGGGTTGAAGTAAGAAATACACTTTGAAGTTTTTTCTATTTACTTTCATACATATATGTCGGGAAAATGGGAGAATTTCCTATTTTTTTTTTTAAATTCAATACAATATTAAATTAAATAGTAGGAAACTGTAAATGGAAGTATCTTTCTCACATCCACTGCCAGGCGTAATCCACTTTCGTGAAAGTTGACAGACATGTAAGAGACTGCTTTCTGATGAAAAAGATAATAGCAAAATATGTCCACTTTATAGCAGGTGATAATACATTGAAGAATTCTCTGTTATCTTTGTTGGATGCCTAAAGTTATGCCTTTTTAATGCTTCAGATCTAATGATTCTTTTCAGTTGAAGATATAACCACTCTCTGACACAAAAACAATGGTAGAAATCATTTTGGCAGGACTCATGATTTTGAGACAATATGTGCATAGAGCAACTCATTCCACGTATCAGGCAATCCAGGGAGGCACCAGTGAGTACAATCTGCATAGACGGCAGGATTGGACCTTTGTTCTGGAGAGAGCAGCTTGCCTCCTATAGCTCTATAAACTGAGGGATGTGCATCTTTCCTGTACTCAGAAAGGGTTGTTATGTTGAGGAAGTATAAAGGTACTTTCATTGATTTAGTGAAGTTCGCTGCAATTGCAAAAAGGTCTTGGTTTGTGCCTACGTCCAGTGGCATTGACATGTTTAGTACTGGTGTGTCTTCCTTTTCACACTGGATTCCATCTGGGTTGTTCCAGTCCAAGCTCCTATTGCATTTGCAGACACGATGTAAGTTCTTCCTCAAAATCTCCTGAGAATGAATATTGTATTGCATTTTTTTAAACACATAAATATTAATTAACATGATTAAAGATTTTGAAGAGAAATCACTGCAATTCATGGACCAGATATTGGTTTAACTATCTATATCTGATAAATTGACTTCCAATGAAGTAGGACTGTTTTGCTTACCTGACATGTATTGGAGATATGCTGTTAAAGAAAACATAAGTACGAGTAGGATCAATATTTCCATCCACCCAATTAGCCCATGTCTGCAGCACTTTCCCATATGCTTTATTCAGTTCAAGTTCGTCGTACTCTGTTGTGCCTTCTTGAAATGATCCTCGTCTTTCGTATCATTTGTCAAATGCAAAAGAGAAAAGATCAAATCATGATCATATTGCTAAACTAAATTGTGAACAGAAAGATTTGGGGTATAAAGCTCTTACTGGTGGAAAAATTAAAAACTTTTATGTACTTACAACACTTTTACAGTGGGATAGTTAATCCACCAGATATATGTGTTGAAGATAAGATAGTCTGCATCTTTCCAGTTATCTCCATGCTTTGAGATTGATTCAGGCATGATTATTCGGTCTGATGTTCCATCTCTATTTGTTGGAGGGTCCACGTTGGATTCAACCAGGAATGGAGCCCAGTAGAATTCTATGGTTGCATTGTACTCCTATATATTCAAATGAAATAGAGACTATCAGGTGATTTTCCTTCTTATTCTCACAACAAAAGTTACTGCTAAACATATTTAGCTATGCCCATTTTTCTTAGTCAAAGTTGTCAACTTATTGATACGTTCCTCTTGATGTTGATAAAAAGATGGATTTTAGTGGAATAGTCCCACGCATGCTTCTAGGGTATGTATGTCATGATTTATGTTCTGCCTAGGAAACATCTGTGACAAAATTTAGCTAGCAGATGCCTTTTGGCATAAGTGGGACTTGAACAGTAGATTCCATCTGAAATAAAGTTAATAGAAATGGAACTGTGAATTTTGATGAAAGGAGAGAGAAACCTCTGCTTTAAAGACATAGATGTAGTCTCCATAGCTCACACTCTTCTTGCCCAAAGTAAGGATAGAATGGACCATACAAACCATAGATTGCCACTGGTTTAAATGTAATGAATCTCCCACGAACATAAGCCTCTTTCCTCTCAGTTTTTCTAGCAACACCCTTCCTTCAAACCTTGTAGGTAAACAAATTTATGATGTCATTAACTTTGCTCCTCAATCTCCCAAAGAACTAAA